GGGATGGGGGGCGGCGATGGAATATCGGGTATCGACCAATTGAAACTATGGAGGAAGGGGGTACGGCCTGGGGAGAGGATGAGGACGCAGTGGAGGATGAGGGAGGGGGGAACGAGAAGGGAGAAGGGATCATGAAAAGGATGCTGGAAGGTGAAATGATGGAGGGGGGGCGATGGGGAGTCGTGTGTAAATAAACGTAGGCGAGGGTGGAGGGAAAGGCCTGGGAAGATGGAGGAAAGAGGAGGGGTAAGGCAGCCGGTGGGGGAGGGAGGAGGGAGGGAAGGGAGAGAGGGAAGGAGGGCGAGAGGGAACGAGGGAGGGAGGGAGGGAGGGAGGAGGATGAGGAGGAGAAAAAGGAGGAGGAAAAGGAGATGAAGAGGAGGGAAATTACGATGAGGAAAACGCTTCTGATGGTGATCGGACGATGGGGCTCTTCGTCCTCTTCCTCCTTCTCCTTTTTTCCTCGATATCCCCGCCCTTGTACTGGGTGGCACATTCTTTGGCCAACATTGGTCTGTGAAAGCACCGTTGCAATCGACGGCAAGCACGTCTTTGATTCATAGGGGTGTTGGCCATTTGCTCAGCATGCGCCACGGAAGCCCCAACTCGCTTTATTTGCATAACTTGCAGTGCGCAAGTTATGGGGTGGGTCTACTGCTCGAAGGTTCGTCCTTGCCGCAGCCACTTCGTGTTGGCGGCGCACAGTTCCAGATGCCAGGTCGACCAGTTGGCTGTATTAACCACTGCCATAGTGTTTGCTGAAGTCGCAGTCGCGCCCTGTGTCCTCTTCGTCTTCTCTGCCTCCTCGTCGTCGTCCTGTTTGCTCTCTCTCTCTCTCTCTCTCTCCCTTTTTCTCTCGCAGTGCTCCATAGCGATCCCAAGCCGCGGCGGCCCACGACGCCCGAGCAGGGCGCAGCTAACCGCCGCGGTACCAGACGCACGCCGACGCTGGCAGCTTCCAGACGGGGAGGGAAGGGGGGGAAACCGAAGGACCGAGGACCAACAAACTCTCAAATGTGACAGAAGGAGAAGGGGGAGGAATGAGAAAAACGCGTGCTGACTGTAGCCGTGCTGGTAGCTGGTTTTGGCCTTGACGCGGGCCAAATTAAGGCAACACCCAAAGGGGGGGGTCCTAAGGACCCCGCTGCCCAGGACCCTGAGAGCACGCCTTCAGGCAGTGCTTGCACCAGGAAGCAGATGACACACTGCTTAGGTTCCAGCACCGCATCCAAGGGTGTCGAACTTCTGGCTTCAGGCTGGTCAATCTCACCTTTCGGTACATGCGGCCGGCCCTCTCACCGGCTCTGTCAGGCCTCGCCGTGAGCAGCTGGGCGTCCACGGCGGTCGGCGGTGAGCTGCTTCTGCATCTCGCAAAATCTCCAGACGGAGCTGTGATCTGCGGCTGAAGGTTGGCCAGTTTCACTTTGTTGTTGCGTCTTTCTGTGGATATAGTCTCGGGCGACGTTGTCCTTGTTCCCGCATCGCAGCGGAAAGCGCCATGGACTCGTGCGGGGCGTCGGCCTGCAGCACCATAATTTGTCCAACGGATAAGCAGGGTCTGTTCGCTCAGATCCAAAACGACAGCTCAGGCTGTGGCCCTCGTAGCCGGTGGTCATCGTAGCTCGGCTGGTGGTCCTCGTAGCTCTGCTGGCGGCCCTCGTAGCCAGTAGGTGCGGCTTGCGATGACCCGGCGCCTGGCGAGGTACGCCTCACGCGCCAGCTCGGCCGTCGCGAACGCGTCGGGCGTCTCCGTCTCGTCCTCTTCCTTCAGCTTGTGCTCCTCGTAGTCCTCCTCCTCGTCTGCCTTCTTAGTCTCCTCCTCGTCAGCCTCCTTCGCCTCCCCGTCGTTCAAGGAGGAGTCGTCGGCTGCCAGGTCGTAGTCCTCCACTTTTACATTGTCACGCAGATAAGACAAGAAACAACCTGAGGGAGAGAGAACCAGCGATGGCCAGTCCCGCTCTTCCTCGCCCGCTTTTTGCCGTCGGAACTCTGCTGGTGGCCGTCGAGGCTCAGCTTGTTCTCAAGCTCTTCTTCTTGCCATCGAAGCGCTGCTGTTGGCTATCGGGGCTCAGCGCAGTGTCTCTCGAGGCTCTGCTGCTTGCTGTCGAAGCTCTGCTGGTGGCCGCCGTAGCTCAGCTGGTGGCTCTCGAAGCTCTGCTGGTGGCCCCGGTGGATCTGCAAGTTGTCCTCGGAGCCGTGCCTCGTGCCGTCGTAGCTCTGCTGGTGGCCCTCGAAGTCCAGCATCCTGCCGGGGTCGCTCTGCCGTTCGTCCTCGCAGCTCTCCACGCTCTGCTTCCTGCTGGTAGCTGCGCTGGTGGCCCTGGTAGCTGTGCCGGTGGGTCTCGAGGCTTTTCTTCTTGCTGTAGCTGTGCTGGTTTCTGCTGGAGGCCAGTGAATTTCAGGTAGGCGTCATCGTGCTGCCTGTCACGCAACTCCTTGTCGTACGCAACCTGGGTGCCCTGCACATCGTCCGCCTGCGCTCCGTGCGGTTCCTCCTTGTCTTCCTTCTGGCCCTCCTCGGCCACCGTAGAACATTGCGATGGGCCCGTCCCGGTCGTAGCAGCATTCGCTGTGTACGTGTGGTTCCGGTCGTAATGGTTGCCCTCCATGTCGTCCATGTCCTCCTTCGTGCCCTCCTTGCCCTCGTGGCCGCCGTAGAATAATTTGGAAAGGCGCCCGTACCTCTACGACGATGTACCTAAGCCGGACGAGCTCCCGCACAGCCACCCCTTTCTGTTCTCTCGTTCGCAACCTTTTTCCTTCAAGCACTTGTCGCGCTGGCTGTCGTGCTGGCTGTCGTACTTGTCGCACTGGTTGGCCGTGCTACTGACATCTGATCCTGACGCCCGAGCGCCTCGCAGCGCCGGCACTGCGCAGCGCGGCGGGGAGCCGTGGGGCCCAACGCGGCCATGTCAGCCGCGCGCCGCGCGCTGCACCGCGCGCTGGGCCGCCTCGCGCTGAGTCCGCCCACGGCCGTCTGGGCGCCTTCGCGTGGCGCCTGCGGCGTCGCGGGCCGAGGCCAGCCCCCCTCGTGGCGCGCGCCCGGCCGGTCGCGGCGCCGGGGGCGAGTGTGGGGCACAGAGTTCCCACATACGACCTTCGTCGTCATCCTGGAACGCCTGGAACGCCGCCTGGGGGAGGGGAAGCCAGCGGTCATCCCCTCACCGTCAGAAGGGAAAGTGCAACCTCAGCCTCTCTCCTGCCCCCGGCCTCCCCAGCCCAGGGCGCAGGGCCTCCAGCTCGGACAGCCGAGGGGCTGCCTGGGAGGGGACGGAGGAGCAGGCGGCGGGTCCTGCGGACGAGGGCGTGGTGGAGCGGACGGGCCACGGCCGATCAAGCCGGTGCCCTCCACCCTCAGGCAGAATCCCCCTCCTCAATTTGGCTGGATCCCTACGTATTCTCAGGGTTGGGGTGACATTTGGGCTCACGGAGGCGGACGTCTCGCGTGACCGCTGTCGCACCGCAAGCCGCACGGTGCATCTCTGGGCGGCCTGTGCCAGGTGTCCTGGTGATCCGCAGCTTGTGCTCACAGCCTCGCTGCTGAATCGCCCTGAGCACCTCCCGCATCGAGGCCAACAAATCACGGGACGCTGTGCAGTCGAACCTACGACAAAAGAACATCACTCGAGAACGCGGGACCCTTCGCTGGCCAAAACACACGGGACATCCAAGGGCACCCTCCCCAGGGTGCACAAGGACATCCAACAAGCACAAAGAACACCAGGGTACCCTCCCCGCACCGACCTCGACCTCAGGCCTCGGCCCGACCCTGCGCGAGAAGAGCTGTGGCACGTGGCGCAGCGCCAAGCCCCGCTGGCCCAGACCGTGAGGCGCGAACGAGCCACAGGCCTGAGCGGGGAAAACTCGGGGAAGTACGGACCCAGGTCGATCCAGACCCGGGTCAGTCAAGCCCTGCAGAATCCTGAAGAATCCTGCAAGATCCCGTGCCCAGGCCCGGGTCAGTGCCAAGGATCCTGCAAGATCCTGCACCCAGACCCGGGGTCAATGCGGCCCTGGCCATGCAGGATCTTTCAAGGTCTGGAGCTCTGGCTGACCCCCATTTGCATTGACCCCCGTCTCTTGAGCCCCGGAAATGGGGCGGCGTCCCCTCTCCGGCGTCCCGAAGAGTTCCTTGGTGGGCGGCCAGACACCTGTAAGAGAACGCGTATCAGCAACCACATTCTCAAACAGCTCCACTCCTTCTCCTCTCCTCTCCTCTCCTCTCCTCTCCTCTCCTCTGCTCTCCTCTCCTCTCACCCTCCTGCTGCTCCTGCTCCTGCTCCTGCTCCTGCTCCTGCTCCTGCTCCTGCTCCTCCTCCTCCTCCCTCCTCCTGCGCCTCCTCCCCTCCCTCCCTCCTTCCCCGCCAATGGAGCAATGGAGCGTGATGGCTGGGCGAAACCTGCATGGGAGTTGTGAATTGCACGTGGAATCTGGCACATTGATAACCAGACATTGTACCAGAAGTCCAATCATCGACTAACGATGGCCATGCGGATAACATGTAAGCCACCGCTTTTGCTAAGGGTTCCGGACCACAGGCGTACCACGAGAAGTCAAAACCCTCGCCCGCAGCACAGGATGTCTTATACCCGTCCCAGGCTATACCGCATGCGCCCCCGCTCGGCGACGACCCAAATCCACGTTCAAACGAGCGCTTGTGATCAATCGCGAGCCGATCCATCGACTGCACATGGACAAAGAGCCAAGGGCACGAAACCCACAACCATGAATCGCGCGCCCGTTCGGGTTATGGCGGAGTCCTCCTTGGAGGATCTGCTCAGGGACAGGAGGAGGAGGAGGAGGAGGATGAGGAGGAGGAGGAGGAGGAGGAGAAGGAGGAGGAGGAGGGGGAGGAGGAGGAGGAGGAGGAGAGGGGGGGGAGGAGAGGGGGGGAGTCTGATCGTGAGGAGGAAACGGAGGAGACGGCCCTCGTCTGCTCCACGACTCATCGACTGCCCGTGGGGAAGGATCCCCATGGCTCCTTACCAAAAGCTCGTGCTTACTCGGCGAGCGCGCCGCATCCTCGAGGCGATCGACGGCAAGCGCCGCGCCCCTCCCGAGGCATGGCCGAAGCACCGGGTGCTGCCCCGCCCGGACGGCGAGCGCCGTGGCTCCTGGCAGCGCGGCCACGGCACCTGCAGACCTCGGCGGTGGGGCTCGCGTCGAGGGCCCCCCGGGAGTGGGGACACCAACAGGGCCGACACCGCTGCTCCAAGGACCTCTCCTGGGGTGCGCTCCGACCAGACTTCCGATGCGAATCCAGCGGTGGCGACGAGGACCTCCGAGGAGGGCGACAAAAGGGGGAGAACGGGCGAAGGGCAGCGGCATGGGTGCCTTTGCCTCCTCCGAGGTGGGGGCTCGCACCGAGGGGCCCCAGGAGGCCCCAAGAGCGAGGATCGGAGCTCGTGAAGCCCCGGCCCCTGTGAGGTTCGAGGATCGCTCCGTGAGGTTCGAGGAGTGACCTTCGCGGGCCGAGGATCGAGTGCTCCTCGAGGGTCGAGAAGCTCGTGTAGACCCCGCCTCTTGGGAACTCTCGGTCCCTGTCGGGCCTCGTGGGGCCTCCCTGGCGGGCTCCGCGGCCGTTCGGGGCGGGCTCCGTGGGCCTCCGTGCGGGTCCAAAGTGTACATTTCTGCTGCTCGTTTCGAGCCCGCAGCGCCGCCCGTTTCGCTCCCTCCTCTTCCTCCCCCTCCTCTTCCTCCTCCTCCACTTTCCCCTCCCCCTCCCCCTCCTCCTCCTCCTCCTCCTCCTCCTCCTCCTCCTCCTCCTCCTCCTTCTCCTCCTCCTCCTCCTCCTCCTCCTCTTCCTCTTCCTTTTTGACGCTGCTCGAACATGCTGACGATATCTTGTTGCGTCCAGAAAAACAAGCAGTGCTTGGCCTCAAGGGAGTTGATCGCCGACTTAGGCCTTGACGAGCAACCTAAGGCAGCCGCCAGTGCGGATGAGCTAGTGCGAGAAGCTGCGATTAAAGAGTGTGGGCCACTGGGGCGCAGAGTAACTATGCGACTGCAGTAGATCCTCCCCCTCCTCCTCCCCGTCCTCCTGACTGACTGACTGACTGACTGACTGACTCACTGACTGACTGACTCGAGGTAGATCGGGCGGTGCTTGGTACCTGCAGAACCTGTCCTGCCACCTCCCCACGGCTAAGCCCTGTGGGGAGGTGGGGGCGCATTAGGGAAAAGGTGAGACGCGAGAGGTGGGACAAAACTGTGGAGCTCGACCCCAGAAAGGAGTAAGAGGAAGGAGGGGAGGCACCAACATAACATCCATAACATGACATCCATCGGGGTGAGGAAGAAGAGGTGGAAGTGAGCGGTAAAGCGCGGACAGCCGCGGTGGACCCTTAAGGGCCCTGTCTTGGGCCCCCCTCCAATTTGGGTCCCCCGACCTCTTGGGGTCGGTGCCCTGGGGATGCCCTGGGTCAACCCTTTTGGGGCGCCCTCGTGGACAGAGGATGGGAGGTGGGTGGGGGTGGGCACTGAGGTAGCCGAAGATATTTTACACTTGACGGGTTGCACAGAGTTGGCCCTGTTGGCCATGGCGAGGTTACTCTCTGTGGCCCCAGTGGCCCTGATGGCCCTATTCAGTGCAAGAAGCTACAAGGAGGTAGGTAGGACGGCAGTGAGCATATGAACAGTGACTGGCCCTGATGGCCCTTTAAGAGGATAGGCAGAAGTAGGAGGGAGGGCTGTGTCGTAGCCCAGGTGGCAGTGGGGGTAACATAAAACCAAACATCAGGCAGTGGGGAAGGAGGTGCTGGGTTTGCTGGGTATACATTTGGAGAAGATTCGCGGGCCCTTTTGAGGGTGCCGCGGTGCGGCGCGGCCGAAGGCAAGGGCCTCAGTTCCTGCAATTAGGACCCCCCCCCAGCTAGCAGACACCATCCTGGCTGGTACCCTCCCTCCGAGGAGGAAGTAGGGTACAACTCTCTGCTGTCTGGGGGGGGTCCACCTCGCGTGGATCTGGTTTGCCTTCGACTTCCCCCGACGAAGGCAATAAGCTGCAACTCTCGTCGGGGGAGGTGAATGGCGTGTGGTGAGGACCCCCCTCCTCGTCCTCCTCCTCCTCCTCCTCCTCCTCCTCACTCGAATGGAGGCTTCCAGAGGCATCCTCCCGAAGCCTCCTCGGGGGCTCACGGCCTCTCCGCTGGCCCCCTGGGGCGCACGGCAGGAGCAGGGGGCGGGGCCGAGGGGAGGGGGCTTCCTGGCGGCGGCTCAGAGCCGGGATCCCGAGAGACGTGGGGGCCCAAGGATCCAGGACCCAGACCTCCTCGCGCTGTGGACGAACCTTTTTGATCCGCGGGTCGAGAGGGAGCCTCTTCCGGTCGAAGCTGAGCGGGCCGCGCACAGCTTTGATTGACAGAGGGGGGGAGGCAGAAGGAGGGGCCTCACGCCAAGGCCACGAGAGGGCAGAGCCCCGGCATCGGGCGGTGCCGACGGCGATGTGCCTGCAAAGGGGCGCCTCGTACAGGAGCCCGCGCTGTGGACAGACATGCGACAGGAGGTCTTCGTCATCTTCGGCCTCCGGGGGCCCCTGCCCGGCCTCGGGAGGGAGGAGGGAGGAGGGAGGAGGGAGGAGGGAGGAGGGAGGAGGGAGGGAGGAGGGAGGAGGGAGGGAGGGAGGGAGGGAGGAGGGAGGAGGGAGGAGGGAGGAGGGAGGAGGGAGGACTCGGGACGACACACCGGGCCCGGGGAAGGGGCCGAGACCTGGGGGGGGCCGACGCCGCGAAGCAGTCACGACGTCGGAGGTCTGGGGACAGGAAGGGATCCAAGGGGTGGATCTCACGCTGTCTGAGGCGCCTCGTCCCTAGGACCCCCATCCCTCAGGACGCCCTCTCTGAGCCGCCGATCCTGAGAAGGCGGGGGGTCTGAGGGTGAATTCACGCTGTTTGAGGCGCCTCGTCCCCAGGACTCCATCCCTCAGGCCCCCCTCTTTGCACGGCCGATCCTTAGAAGGCGGGGGGTCTGCGGGTGGATTTCCGCTGCTTGAGGCACCTCGTCCTTAGGACCCCATCCCTCAGGACCTCATCTTTGAGCTGCCGATCCTTAGACGGCGGGGGGTCTCAGGGTGGATTTGCACCTCGTCCTTAGGACTCCATCCCTCAGGACCCCCTCTTTGAGCCGCCGATCCTTCGACTGCATGGGGTCTTCGGAGGGGCCGGCCCCGCTCAGGCAGCCAAAAAGTCGGGCAGATCAAGCGGCCCGACGTCCACTCGCTGCCGGGAGCCGCCCCCCCGCTGGCAGTCCACAGAGCAGACTGGCCCTGTAGGCCAGGGATAGTGAAGCATATGCAGTCAACCCGTATCATAAGGACGCGCGGTACGGATGCACGGGCCTTGGAAGGCCACGTTCGCGTTTTTCGAACGAGGCTGGCCAACGAGAGTGGCCAAGGACGGGCCGAGGAGGCAAGGATTCAAGGGTAAGTACCCTTGGGAAGGTTGCCCATCCTTACTATGCGGGTTGACTGTACGGCCGAGCATCTGATCAAGACAATAATCATCTAGGAAAGCTGGGCAAACTTCCCAAAACATTCTTGAGCCAGACCTAAGCCAAATTCTGTCATTAACGCTGGATGGGCGAACGTGCTCAAGAAACTGGGCCAGCTCTTCGGCAAGCTGGTTCAGACACTCGGGCCTAGCTTTTCGGGAAGAGGTTTCTCAGGCCCGTTCAACGAGTAACAAACACATCAAAACACATCGATTCTTGAAACCTGATCGGACAAGGAAGCGCGGATTTTGCCCCCCATTGTCCATGGCGGGGCAAAAAGAAAAGGGCGATAGCGACGACAATCCAGCGGATGTCGAGGATGGCAGCGTGGATGACGGGGAGGGCAGCGAGGATGGCAGAAGGACAACGAGTAGGACGACAAACGCGAGGACGAGGAAGAGATGAAGGAGGACGAGTACGAGGAGGAACGAAGCGGAGGAGGATGAGGAGGAGGCGGAGTAGGAGTAGGAGTAGGGGGAGGTGGAGGAGGAGGAGGAGGAGGTGGATTACCCAAGGATTACCCCAATCTGACTCTGTCAGCACGCTATGCTGGGGAGGACTTCAATTGAGTGGCCTCCCATCAGACAGACGCTGGAGGACCCAAGCCCCCATCTTGGTGGACTTCTCTCCTCGAACACATCTGCATTCCTTAGCCAGGTCCCGAGGAGGAGAAGAAGCAAAAGGACGACGACGAAGAACGACGGTAAGGAACCCGACGAAAAGGACGTCGAAGAAGAGAGGGGCCCTCGTGATCTTTGAGGCTACCCCGTGGGCTGCTGAGGCCGCCTGGGGCTGTCTTGGGGCATCCTGGGGACCTCTTGGGGGCCCGTCGGGGTCCTCTTGGGGGCCACCGGGGTCTTCTTGGGCTGTCTGGGCACGTCTTAGGGCTCTCTTGGGGTCTTTCTCAGGCCCTCGTGGTGCTGCCTTGGGCTGTCTTGATCGTCGCTCGCCGTCGTCTCGCGTGGGCCGCCGTTGCCCGAGGGAGCCCCAAGGCGGCCCAAGAACACCCCCAGGGAACCTCAAGGCGGGCGATATGACGTCAATATCCCCCTCTGAAAACAACAACAACAACAACAACAACAACAACAACAACAACAACAACAACAACAACAACAACAACAACAACAACAACAACAACAACAACAACAACACCAACACCAACACCACCACCAACAACAACAACAACAACAACAACAACAACAACAACAACAAACACAAACACGAGCCTCACAGGGGGCGTTTTTGGAGCCTCTTGGGGCCTCTTCTGGGCCTCTTGGGTGCTGTTTTGGGGACTCTTTTGGGCCTCTTGGGCCCTTCTGGGGGCCTCTTGGGGCGGAAGGCTCGACTTGTCAATTCGTGCTCCCCCTCGTTGGCTCTTCTTGGGACTGTCTTGAAGCCCTCTTGGGCCGTCTTGGGCGCCTCTTCGGCCGTCGTGGTGCCTTTTTGGGCCGCCTTGAGGCCCTCTTGCGGGCCTGTTTCGCCATCTTGGGGGGCTTTCTTGGGCCTCTTAGGCCGTCTTGGGACGTCGGAAGCTCTAAATGGTGACAACACCAAAAAAGAGTGAACACACTCGGCAAATTAATGATGTTTGCCTCTCGGGGCAGTCTTGGGAGGGCTCTTGGAGCTCCCTTGGGCATCTCGAAAGCTTCTTGGGCC